ATTATATCTTTTTTACCCTTGCTCAAATGTGCCAACCACCAAGTGTATCACCTTGTGCACATGTGTTAGCATATTTTCATAAATGTTTTCAAGGGTGTTAGCACTCCACTAGATCCTAAATACATATGCAATGAGTTAGAGCATCTAGTGGCACTTTGATAACCGCATTTCGATATAAGTTTCACCCCTCTTAATAGTACGACTATCGATCCTAAATGTGATCACACTCGCTAAGTGTTTCGATCACTTAAAACAAAAAGCTCCTATAAATTTCACCTTTGCCTTTGAGCTTTTTCTTTTTTTCTTCTTTTCCAAGTCCAAGCACTTGATTATTATCATGGCATCACCATCATTATGTCACGATCTTGATTTGCTTCATCACTTGAAGTAGTGATATCTATCTCATAATCACTTTAATAAACTAGGTTAGCACTTATGGTTTTATCAATTCACCAAAACCAAACTAGAGCTTTCAATCATCCCCACCTGTGCCGCCGCCTCACCCATGCCCGATCCGCACCAGTCATTCCCTTCCCCTGGAAGGAGCACTGAGGAGGAGAAGATGCTGCCGCACGCACGCAAGGTGCTCAGGTCTACATCGAGCCCTTCATCGGCGACGAGCACCCAACAGGTATGCCCACCAGGCCACCCTTCTCTTCCCTTTGTGTTGTGTGAAACCGAGCACACGAACCCTGGATTCATTTGTATTCAGATCGATTTTCTGCAATCTTTAATTTCTAGCGATTCCATCAATAAAGGGATGCCCTTGTCGTATATAACTTACCTTACAAAATGTGTGCACAAGAAATTAGATTCCCTCATCCAATTAGTATCATAGTTACTGTAGTTTGAGACTTGAGTGGGAAGAAGAAGAAGGGTAGTTCCCTTTCAGAAGCAGTTTTAGATTTCAGATGTGGTAAATGAGTCATTTCACATTTTGCAGTCATTAATTATCTCGGTGAATTTTAGTTTACATATATATAATCTAGATAGAATTTTGTATGGTTTGTTCAGAATTTTGTTTGGTGTGCCTTGCAAAAACTTAGAATCCAAAACTGGTCCAAATTGTTTGCAATTTGCCAAATTTGAATTAGCAGTTCTATCAACTGAACAGGGGATCTACCAACTGTTGTAGTGTCGAGATTGATCAGGCAGCACAAAGTGGCAGCAAGTTTTTCAGTAGGACATTTGAAGAAGTGGCCACTGTTTTAGGTATGTGATCAATTGATTGTCCGACGACATGCTTGTCTCAATGGTTGTCCTAAGCAAGGTGTTAGCTGGTTTACGAACACTTTTTGAATCTAAAAAGTCAGCTTCAAAACCCTGACGATCTTTTGGATAGATTACTCTATACATGTCCTTGTGAACTTTAATCTTTTGAATATGAAAAGTCAGCTTCATAACCGTCAATTTAGTCTTTGCAATTCTTTCTTTACACCTATGCTTTGTCTGAAAATATCACACTATTTTTCTATTCAGTTAATGCTGCATTAAAATTTAAAAGTAGCACAGGCATTGCAAAGTGATCCGTTTTGGGGTATATCATTGAAGACCTCTAAAAGTTACAATACCTGGATCCGCACAAGCATCTTAGTCATCTGAGTAAATATCAAGGCCCTGTGACCTTGTAGTTGATTTCAGATATCTGTGTTTTGCATGCAAGCATGGTAGTTTTACCTGGTGCCTGATAGCTAGGTTTTGATGGCTTAATTCTATACGTCATCTATCATGCATGTTTCATCATTGTCTTTTTTAACATGCACTGGAAAGGCTGGAAGCGTGGCTTGGTGAACGTGGCTCTCCCAGCCAACTTCAAAAGTCCACCCTTCCATTTCGTAACACGATCCTCGTGGTCAAGGAATTTTGTTATGCATTCTGTTCTTGATTAGGTGCTTCACCAATTTGCATTGCTTTGGTATGGCTCTGTGCCTGTGCTGGGACCTGGCATCGATCAGCGCAAAGCTATGCTGCACCCTATAAATTGGCCTCTATAGTGCAATATTTTTATGGTTGTTAACCAAGAAGAAGCTTTTGACTAGAGACGATCTTTGTAAAAGGAGAACGGTAGAAGATCTTACTAGCCTTTTATGCTGTGAAAATGAGTCTGTTAGTCATCTGTTCTTTGGCTGTGTAGTGGCCCAACAGTTGTGGTGCATCATCTCTGATATTTTCAATATACAGTTGGGTAATTCCTTAGATTCCATTTGACAGTTTTGGCTTAGAAATAAGAACGGTGTGCTTAATGTTATTACCTCAGCAGCTTGCTGGTCTCTGTGGAAACTTAGAAATGACTTATGTTTTCAGAAGCTTGGGTGGCAGATTATGGAGATACTCTTGCACAAAGTGGCCGCCATGGCGCAGAGTTGGACTATCTTATGCAAGATAGAGTATCAACCAATTTTAAAGGAGAAAGCGGCGGAGATTCAAGGGAGAGCTTCAATGGTGATGTAGACTCCGAGCTAATTCTGGCCTGTGATCTTCGCTGGAAGCAGGATCTCTCCTTGGAGTTTTCTGCGGTTTTTGGTGGTCCTTTCCAATCAGACAGCCTTGTTTGTAGATATTCAAGGATAAGTCAAGTAGTTGGGTGAAAAGTTCCCGATAATCAAGGGTCTTCTTGGTAATATTTTGATCCCTTTGCACATTGCAGCACTGGTTTTTTGTTATGCTATGATGCAATTGTATTACTTGCTGCTGTGTAATATTACTTTCCCAATGGACTCCCTGTAGCCACTGTGTTACTACATCCATATAATTATGCCTATCCATCCTTACAAGCGCCATTAAGTGGAAGAAATCAAAGGACACTATAATTCTTTCAACAGTGATCGCAGCATGCACCATCTTTTTGATTATTTACTGGCTTTCAAAATGATGGGATCTCACCTAAAAGAAACTTCCTAGATATCCCTTCTTGCCGACTTCTACTGCAGGTCTGCGTTTCAGTTCAGCCCTCCCAATTCTTTGTATGCAATGACTTGTTTGATACTGGGACTTGGGAACTAATATTTATGATAATAGGGGCAATGGATGAACTACTAAGTGAAACTATAATATACTTTGTGCGCAGTTTATTTTGTTTCTCTGCCCTTATTTTAAATCCAAATTATTTTTGACGTGTAAAATTCTTTCTACTGTATTTCTGGAATCAATCACGTTAAACACAGTAGTAATTTTGAGACCTGAAATCCTCTGCTGGTTGACAGGGAACTGATGATAAGGTTATCACAGGGAATTGATGATAAGGTTTCTACTCCGCCTATGTTGTCTCAACATAGCAGGTCCCAAGCCCTGGTAAAGGAGGAGGGTTGTGATAGGCGTGGCGAGCCAACGTTAAATCTAGCCATTCTAATGGAGGTAAAACCCAAAAAAAATCGTTGGGGGCGTAACCCTCTTAGCGACGCGCCATATCGGAACCCGAGTATGGTGTTAAATGGGCAAGGACCGGGTCGGCACCCCCTTGGTGACACGCCGTGTCGCGATCTGGGCATGGTGTCAAGTGAGCAAGGATCGGGTCATCGCTTCCTTAGTGGCGCGCTACATCGGCGCTCGGGTGTAGTGAAAAATAAGCAAGGGTCTTCACATCTGAGTTGACGGATGAGAAGGGTAAGGAAGCTAGTCAAACCAACTAGGATCTGTTTAGCTAGTTGGAATGTAGGGTCGCTTACAGGTAAGTTAAAAAAATTAGTTGATACCGCGACTAGGAGGCGTGTAAATATATTATGCGTTCAAGACACTAAATGGAAGGGTCAGAAGGCGAAGAAGGTGGACAATACAAGTTTCAAACTTTGGTACACACGGACAGTCGCGAATAGAAATGGAGTAGTCAGTTTTGATTGATAAGAGCCTCAAGAATGGTGTGGTGGGAGTGAGAAGGCAAGGGGATAGGATTATCTTAGTCAAGCTTATCGTTGGTGATATGGTCTTGAACGTAATTAGTGCGTATGCCTCCCAAGTAGGCATCGACGAGAGTGCTAAGAGATAGTTCTGGGAAGACTTATATTAGATGGCCTGATTAGAGCTGTATCTAGTCGTGAGAAACTTTTTATAGGAGGAGATCTTAATGGGCATGTAGGTACTATAAGCGCAGGTTTCGAGATAGTTCATGGAGGTTTTGGATACGGTAGTAGGAATCAGGAGGGGGAGGAAGTTCTGGACTTCACGGTAGCTTTTGACTGGATGATAGCCAACACTTTCTTTAAAAAGAGAGAATCTCATATAGTGACCTTCAGTAGCGGACAACACTCTAGCCAGATTGACTTTGTTCTCGCAAGAAGAAAGGACAAACGAGCATGCTTGGGTTGCAAGGTGATACCAGGGGAGTGTGTTGTTTCTTAACATAAGCTTTTGGTGGCAGAGTTTCGTTTTCAGGTGCGTGCCCGTAGGGATAAACAAGCTAAGATTGAAAGAACAAATTGGTGGAAACTGAAAGAAAAGATGTCAGAGGTATTTAGAAAAAATGTTATCAAAGAGGGCTCTTGATAGTAAGAAGAGGACATAAACAACATGTGGGAGAAGATGGCACCCAACATTCGAAAGGGGGCCTCAGAGGTGTGTGGAGTAACCAAAGGAAGTGGAGGCGAGGCTAAAGATACTTGGTGGTGGAGGCGAGGCTAAAGATATTTGGACATATTAGGCAATGCAGATTTACACAAACCGTCGCAACACACAAAAATAGATGTGACTATATGCAGCATAATATAAGCAATCAATCAAAATTTTATCAAACACAGCTTGCATATACAAGACAACTAATAAACACCAAGACATTATATAAATTTGTGCTAACTTGGGTTGCGTTGCATAAGGTCTATACAAACTAAAGCAAGCAACCAATTACACATGTGACTAATGTTAAGCAAATTGCATATTTAACACTATTTGCGGCAATTGCAACACGATCGGTGTTAGTAGCGGAAAAAATATTGTCACTGTTCAATCACCCGTAGTTCAAGGTCGCTGAAACTGAACAGGTGCAGTGGCCACTGGTCGCGCTTCTGGTTTTATCTTATATAAGCACGTGAGCTGTTCAGAGTGAAGCCGTCATATGAGTTACATTCAACAGGAACTTGATCATGAACGATAAAAGGTGTCGAGAGGTGTTCCCTAAGGCGGCATTCACTGTTCACGGGATGAAAGTTACTGTTTATGATCTCGTAAATTTCTTCAGATTTCTTTAAATTCCTCCGGATGAACAGGGTTAATATGGTGAGCTGTCCATGATTCATTTGCGGTACATATGCTAGAGGCAAGTGAGGGAGACATTGATGACCACATGTGTCTTCTATGTACATGCAGATTAGAAACACATCGTCGACCCATATCTCTCTGCACACTGAACCTTTGAAACCTCATCTTCAGTTCAGAAGCCAGATCACCCCTGCCTATCTTGTGCAGATCCTTGGTCACTTTAACATAAGCGGAATGGTCAGGTCTGAGGCCCTTCTCCATCAGCTCATACAGGACTCTGCCTGCATCAGTGGTCCTCCCTGACTTCCGAAGCAGCTTAGCGAGCAGGCTGTAGTTCCGGTTCACAGAATGCCTGTCCCTGGTGCTCATGGCACTGACATACTTGCAGGCATCTTCTATTCTCCCAGCGTAGAAGTACCCCTTGATGAATGCAGAGTGTATGGTGATCCTCGGCGTCAGGTTTTCCGAGAACATCTGATCAAGAGTCTGCATTGCCGAATCCATCTTCCCTGCCTTGCAGGCATGGTATGTCAGGATCTCGTACGTGAGTGAGTTCGGGATCTCACTGCGCTTCAACCTCTCCATGGCCTCAACAAGCCTGCACGCCTCAGCGAGCCTCCCGTTCTTGAGCAGGCAGCCGAGGAGGTAGTTCCAGGTGTTGGCGTCAGGGTCAGACCCCGACCTCCTCATTTCGTCGAACACCTCGCGGGCGCCGACAAAGTCGCCGGCTTTACACTATGCCGCGACGAGGACGTTATAGTACCGCACCTTCCTCGCCGTCTCCTCGATCACCGAGACCGCAGCATCGAACTCGCCCATGGACGCCAGCGCCTTGACAAGCGAAAACACGCCGGACGCTCGGCAGGGCCCGCCGACGCCGTCCAAAGCCCCCAGGACCGCTCTCGCCGCATCCTCCACGCTGCCGTTCCGTGACGAACCCGACGACGGCGCCAGGAAGGCGAACGGCCGGTCGGTCAGGGGGAGCCTCCGCTCCGACATGAGCGCCAGGGCGCGCGACATCGCGCCGTAGTCGCCCAGGCTCCCGGCATTCTCGACGAGCAGGTTGTGCGCGCGGGGGCACTGGGAGAATCCCCTGCCGAGAGAGGAGGCCCACGCGAAGAAGCGCTCCGCGGGAACGGCGCGGTCCGTGAGCGCGCGGAGGGCGCTGGAGACAAGCCCGTGGGAGAGGGCGGCGGCAAAGAGGCGGTCGAGGTCGGCCTCGAGGCCTCCGCCGCCTGCGGCGACGAGGCGAACGATCGCGTCTGAAGCGGCGGCGTCGGAGCTGTCATCCGCGTCGCTGTCGTGGGGAACGGAGCGCCTGCCGGAGAATGCCGCACGGGAAGGGACGTGACGGAGGGGAGCGCGGACGAGGCGAGGGAAGGGGAGCATCACACGGCCAGACGGGTGCGCTGGGCCGAGTCGAGGCGGCGGCCAGTCGGGTCGGATGGGTCGAATGGATGGGGACGAGGTTGTGAGTGAAAAAAATTCTATGCATGCAAGAGATGCAAATCAGCACCGGTGCAGTTCATTTAACTCCTCTCTCGAACCCTCTCGTGGCTACAGTTCAGAGAGGCGAGAAAGAGGCGCCCGGCTTCTCGGTCTCCGCCGGGGGACTCCGTGGTCTTCCTCGTCTCCGATGGCCTTCTGGGCGTCAGGAGGTGGGGAAGACCGTGGATCTCCTGCTGGCTGTCTAGGCTTTGGTGTCCTGGCGATGATGGTGAGGCGGATGCAGCATCGTCGCAGAGGAATAAGTCCCTCCGTCCTCGTTCCCGTCGCGGTGGCGCTAACTCCGGCGCCTTCGTGAGGTATGTGAGGGTTGGGTCCTCCAGATCTGGTTCTCTGGATCTATGGAGGATTTGTACAGGAGTCCGCGGTTGTCTGCTGCTTCTGCTGCCTGTGAAGGAGCTTGTGATGGCAGCGGCAACCTCTTTTGTTGAAGGAGAAGGGATAGCTTCTGGTGTAGCGGTGGTGTGGCGAGTGGATCTGGGTCTCTTCTCCGGCGCTCTCCGGCGACGTGCCATGGTCCTGGGCCAGGTGGGCGTGGAGTGTGTCCCCGGCCGATGGACGATAACTGGCGATTTTTTCCTGTTCTTGGTAACGGGATTCTGTTGTGGCTCCTTTCAAAGCCAAGGCGAGATGGCGCTCTTCCTGGTCTATGTTTGGTGTCGCTCGTCACCTTGCTTCGTCGTCGGCTTCGGCGATGGTGCTCGGCGATGTGCGACGACTGCGGCAAGCACAACAACCTCCTTGGACTTTGTTGTCATTTTCTTTTTCTCTAGAGGCGTGTGTGCAGTTTGGCTGGGACAGCTGTCCCTTCTGTATCCTTCTAATACCTGCTTGTATTTGTATGTATGTTTGTTTGTACGTGTTCTTCTTAAGTCTTAATCAGCGGCGGCTCCTAGGAAAAAATTTAGTGGGCTGAACAATATGTATTTTCTACTGTTATTCGATCTTAAGTCTTAGCTCTATCTACACTATATAATTTTGACTAAAAATTTATGTGGGCTCTAGGAGATTCCACTGCTCCGGTATGGATAGGGGGGCTCGAGCCTCCCCGCCCACTGTTGGATCCGCCCCTAGTCTTAATACATGTATGTTTAATTAAAAAAATCTGCACCGGTGCAGCACCTCTTCGACGCCGTTCATCGGTTCAGGCGCAAGGCGGCACGGGGCGTTGCTCTGTTGATCCTCTACGCAGCGATACAGCCTGGAACATGCCCCGGTGATTTCGTGAATCACAAATTCATCATGCACGAAGGCACGGAGGATAATATAACGACATGCAAGAGGTGTTGCACTGGTGGTGATGTGCATCACGCATGCATATAATTTTTTCCGCCACGTGCCACAAACGTACAACTTTCGCTTCCACTTCTCATAATCTATCCGTTCTAAAAGGTCCGGGTTTGAGTCGCGGTCTCCTCGCATCGCACAGGCGAAGATAAGACTTGCCACTAACACCCTTCTCTAGACCCCGCACAGAGTGGGGGCTCTCTGCACTGGGTATGCCCTTTAACTCCGCATATGTTGTCTCAACATAGTAGGTCCCAAGCCCTGGTAAAGGAGGAGGACTATGATAGGCATGGCGAGCCAACATTAAATCTAGCCATTCTAATAGAGATGAAACCTGAAAAAAAAATCATTGGGGCGTAACTCTCTTAGCGACACGCCATATCGGAACCCGGGTATGGTGTTAAATGGGCATGGGTCGGGTCGGCACCCCCTTGGTGACGCGTCGTGTCGTGATCTGGGCATGGTGTCAAGTGAGCAAGGATCGGGTTGTCGCTTCCTTAGTGGCACGCTACATCGACGTCCGGGTGTAGTGAAAAATGAGCAAGGGTGTTCACATATGAGTCGACGGGTGCACGAAGGGTAAGGAAGCTAGTCAAACCAACTAGGATCCATTTAGATAGTTGGAATATAGAGTCGCTTACAGGTAAGTTAAGAGAATTAGTTGATACCGCGACTAGGAGGCGTATAAATATATTATGCGTTCAAGAGACTAAATGGAAGGGTCAGAAGGTGAAGGAGGTGGACAATACAGGTTTTAAGCTTTGGTACATAGGGACAGTCGTGAATAGAAATGGAGTAGGAGTTTTGATTGATAAGAGCCTCAAGAATGGTGTGGTGGGAGTGACAAGGCAAGGAGATTGGATTATCTTAGTCAAGCTTGTCGTTGGTGATATGGTCTTGAACGTAATTAGTGCATATGCCTCCCAAGTAGGCCTCGACGAGAGTGCTAAGAGACAGTTCTAGAAAGACTTAGATGGCCTGATTAGAGTTGTACCTAGTAGTGAGAAGCTTTTTAGAGGAGATATTAATGGACATGTAGGTACTACAAGCGCGGGTTTCAAGACAGTTCATAGAGGTTTTAGGTATGGTAGTAGGAATCAGGAGGGGGAGAAAGTTCTGGACTTCGCGGTAGCTTTTGACCTGATGATAGCCAACACTTTCTTTAGAAAAAGAGAATGTCATCTAATGATCTTCAGTAGCGGACAACACTCTAGCCAGATTGACTTTGTCCTCGCAAGAAGAAATGACAAACGAGCATGCTTGGGTTGCAAGGTGATATCAGGGGAGTGTGTTGTTTCTCAACATAAGCTTTTAGTGGCAGACTTTCATTTTTAGGTGCGTGCCCGTAGGAATAAACAAGCTAAGATTAAAAGAACAAAGTGGTGGAAACTGAAAGGGGAGATGTCATAAGTATTTAGGGAAAGGGTTATTAAAGAGGGCTCTTGAAAGAAAGAAGAGGACATAAACAACATTTGAGAGAAGATGGCAACCAATATTCGGAAGGTGGCCTCAAAGGTGTGTGGAGTAACCAAAGTAAGTGGAGGTGAGGCTAAAGATACTTGGTGGTGGAACGATGAAAGTCTAAAGGGCTATTAAGGAGAAGAAAAAAATGATATAGACGCTTGTACCATGATAGGAGTATTGACAACATAAAAAAGTATAAGGTAGCAAAGAATACTACAAAACGAGCTATAAGTGTGGAAAAGGGTAGAGCGTACGAGGATCTTTACCAACATTTGAGTACGAAGGAAGGAGAGAAAGACATTTATAGGATGGCTAGGGTTCGTGAGAGAAAGACAAGAGACTTCAACCAAGTTAACTACATTAAGGATGAAAGGGAGCATCTCTTGGTGAAGGGGGATGAGATCTGACATCGATGGCAAGAGTATTTTAACAAATTGTTCAATAGTGAGAATACGGACACAACCTTTCAGTTGGATGACTCTTTTGATGACACCAATAGGCGCTTTGTGCGGAGAATCCAAGAATCTGAGGTCAAAGAGGCGTTGAAAATGATGAAAGAGGTAAGGCGATGGAACCGGATGGTATCCCAATCGAGGTGTGGAGATGCCTCGGGAGACATAGCTATAGTATGGCTAACCAAGTTGTTCAACCATATTTTTTGATCGAACAAGATGCCTGACGAATGGAGAAAAAGTATATTGGTACCGATCTACAAGAATAAAGGGAATATTCAAAGTTGTACTAATTATCGGGGAATTAAGTTGATGAGCCATACTATGAAGCTATGGGAGAGAGTTATTGAGCATCGCTTGAGAGCAATAACGCGGGTCTCTATGAACCAATTTGGTTTCATGCCCGGAAGGTCAACCATGGAAGACATTTTCTTAATAAGACAAGTTATAGAGCGGTATAGGGAGAAGAAGAAAGACCTACACATAGTTTTTATTGACTTGGAAAAGGCTTATGATAAAATACCAAGGAATATTATGTGGTAGGCTTTGGACAAACAAAAAGTCCCAACTGAAAGGTCCTAATATAGCTAGAGGGGGGTGAATAGGCTATTAAAAATCTACAAACCAACTAGAGCAATTTGATTAGTATGACAAATAGCGAAAAGCTAACTTGCTCTAGCTCTACAAGGGTTGCAAGCCACCTATCCAAAAATTCTAGTTGTTATGATAACTAGACACACACTCTATTAGGTCACTACTCACTAAGAGCTCTGACAATTGCTACATTAAAGAGTTCCACTAGATGAACTTAATCTACAAAGCAAGCTCTCAATTCTAGCTACACTAAAGAGCTTGCTATAGCTAGTTTGCAGGAATGTAAATGAGTAAGTGAGGTAATTATACCGCCGCATAGAGGGGAATGTAAATGAGTAAGTGAGGTAATTATACATGTTAGCCGTGCTGCGTGCACGATAGAGGAGTGAACCGGCACTATCATGGCAAGATCAATACTTAAGAGGAGAACCAATCACAAGATGAATACTTTATCAATCACCGAGAGAATACCAAAAGGCAAGAGACAACTAATTTTCTCCCGAGGTTCACGTGCTTGCCAACACGCTACGTCCTCGTTGTGTCGACCAACACTTGGTGGTTCGGCGGCTAAGAGGTATTGCACGAACCTCATCCACATAATTGAACACCGCAAGAACCTACCCACAAGTGAGGTAACTCAATGACACGAGCAATCCACTAGGGTTACCTTTCGGCGCTCCGCTGAGGAAGATACAAGTCCCCTCACAATCACCGGAGATGGCCACGAACAATCACCAACTCATGCCAATCCACCTCCGCTGCTCCAAGCCGTCTAGGTGGTGGCAACCATCAAGAGCAACAAACGAATTCCACAGTGAAACATAAATACCAAGTGCCTCTAGATGCAATCATTCAAGCAATGCACTTGGATTCTCTCTCAATCTCACAAAGATGATGAATCAATGATGGAGATGAGTGGAAGGGCTTTGGCTAAGCTCACAAGGTTGCTATGTCAATGCAAATGGCCAAGAGAGTGAGCTTGAGCTGGCCATGGGGCTTAAATAGAAGCCCCCACAAAATAGAGCCATTGGCTCCTCAGTCCACTAAAAAATAGGGTGATCGGACACGTCGGTCAGAATGACCGGA